TTTTATCCCTGAACACTAATCCACACAAATGGAAATCAAAAGAAAGCCAAAGTCACAGTACTTACATCAGACAAAATAGATTGTAAAATAGACTGTCACAAGAGTCAAAGAAGGACCGTACATAGTGATGAAGGGATCAATCCAAGAAGATAGAACAATTGTAAACATACATCCACCCAACACAGGAGCACTTCAATGTATAAGGCAACTGCTACCAGACATAAAAGGAGAACTCCACAGTAATACAGTAATAGTGGGGGAACCTTAACACCCCGCTTACATGGATGGGTGGATCATCCAGACAAAAAATCAATAAGGAAATAGAAGCTAAATGACACATTAGACCAGATGGACTTAATTGATATTCACAGAGCATTCCATCCAAAAGCAGAATACACATTCTTAAGTGCACGTGGAGCATTTCTCCAGGAACCGCTGGCCCACAACGCTAGCCTCAGTAAATTAAGAAAACTGAAATCATATCAAGCATCTTTTCCAACCACAGTGCTATGAGCTTAGTAACCAACTAAAAGAAAAAACCTGTAAAAAAAAAAAAAAAAAAAGAAAACACAGGGAGGCTAAACAATACGCTACAAAACAACCAATGGATCAGTGAAGAAATCAAAGAGGAAATCAAAAAATACTTGAGACAAATGAAAACAAGAACACGACGATCCAAAAACCTCAGGGATGCAGCAAAAGCAGTTCTAAGAAGCAAGTTTATAAGCGATACAAGCCTACCTCAGGAAGCAAGAACAATCGCAAATGAACAGCCTAACCTCACACACTTAAAGCGACCGGAGGAAAAACAAAATCCAAAGTTAGTAGAAAGAAAGAAATCATAAAGATTAGAGCAGAAATAAATGAAATGGAGACTAAAAAAAATAGAAAGGATCAATGAACTAAAAGCTGGTTCTTTGAAAAGATAAACAGAATTGATAAACCGTTAGCCAGACTCATCAAGAAAACAAGGGGAGGGCCCAAATCAGTAAAATCTGAAATGAAAAAGGGTAAGTTACAACCGACCCCACAGAAATACAAAGTCCTAAGAGACTGCTCTCAGCAACTATACGCCAACAAAACAGACAACCTAGAAGAAATGGACAAGTTCTTAGAGAGGTACAGTCTCCAAAGACAGAACCAGGAAGAAATACCTCAAACTTACACAAGTGTTATATTGTATCTCAATATCTCAATAAAACTGGAAGCAATTACATTTCAATGAAACTGGAAGAAAAATAAATTTAAATAAATGAAAAACAAAAAAATAGAAAAACCGTATACATGTCAGTAGTCAGGCGGCCAGTCAGCATGTCTTTCAGATCCAACAGCTTCAGTAAAACTGCTCATTAATGGGTGAACGGAAGGACCATCAGCTGTCACCACCTGGGTCCACCCTCTTACTTCTCTAGGAGAACTTCCCATAATTATTAAAGAAGGACAGGAATTGGGAAGAGTTCCTGTGATTCTAGGAATTCAAGAAACCTGGGCCTGGAGGGAGACCTGGTTATAATGACTTCTATCCACATAAAACAAGGCCCACTGCCCTTCCGAAAACAGTGTGCTTCTGCTTTTGATGCCACACTCGACAGCTTCACGTCTAAAACAGGGCCTCCTTCTGTCCTGCAGTCCAACCACATTCTCCTAGGTAACTCCTCCTCCCGTTGTCGTACAAGACCCTCAGGCCTTCACCCGTAAAACCCCAACACCGCCTGTCTCACCCTCGCTCTAAATTAAGATTACTTTCTATTTCACCGCGAAACCAGCACTCGGAAGAGGGCCCCGTGAGCTCTTAGGCTGTAGCTCCTGCCACCTGCACGTGTGCCTGCCCACTCTCTTCTCTCCCGTGACTCTGGATGAACGGTCACACTCCTGTCCCAGGCCAGCCGCCTGCTTTTTCCACCAGATCCCTCTGGCTCCTGTCTCCTCAAGGACACAGCCTAGCATCTGTCCCTGCCTCATCGGCTTACTCCCCGCCAGGATCACCTCCAGCAGCACACAGACGTGCCTGCATCTCCTCCAGCTTAAAAAAGCACATAACACGTGCTACCTCTTATCACCACCCCTCCAATCACCACCAATTCTGTTTCTCTTTGTACCTTTATGGCAGAATTACTGGGAAAAGATGTCTGTTCCCCATCTCCAATTCCTCCGCTTCCATTCTCCAGTCTGCCTTTTACCCCCATCACTGTTTCCATGGCTGCCGTGTCCCCCACAGGTCCCTCCTCGCCAAACCCAGTGGTCAGTTCTCAGTTCCCACCCTGACCCAGCAGCTGCCGGTGTGTGGATGACTCTCCTTCCCGACACTCTCTCCTTACTTACTGCCTTCTAGGACCCAGTCTCCTGGCTTTTTTCTCACCTCCCTGCCAGCTCCTTTCCCAACAGCTCCAAACCCCTAGACCTGGAAACATGGAGTGTGTCATCCTCACACCTGCCTGTCTCCTGTCAGTCTCATGGCTTTAAATACACTTCTCCTCTGCACTGAGGACCTTCCCCTGGACCCCAGGCCTGTTTATCCAACTTGCTTTTCATTTGGATATTTAATTGACATCACAAATGTTGAATTTCAACATCAAATTCCCGTATTTCCCCCTCAAATGCTGCTCTTCCCAGTCTTCTCTATCTCAATAAATGATCATTTCAGCCTTTCATATTCAGGCCCAAAACTTTGGAGTCATCCTAAACTGTCATCTTTTTTTGTCCCTCACCCCACAGCCAACCCATCAGCAAATCCTGTTGGCTCTGCCTTGGAAATATATTGAAAACCCCACCACTCTTCCCCAGCTGCACAGCTAAAACCCAGACCAGTCCACCCTCATGGCTTACTGAATACAGCCGCCCGACTCACCACGCCCTGCACCCTCACACTATTCTCAACCCAGCAGCCAGGTTATTTCTGGATGTCAGTCAGGTCATGTCTGCTCCTCTCAAGCCCTCCCACGACTCACGTTAGAACTCAGATCCCTTAAACCTGCCTGTTGGGCCCTGCCTCCCTACCTCCCTGCACACACACACACCCCACAGCACCATCCCCCTCGCCCATCGCTTCCTGTCCCTCGCCCTACTCCACCCACACCCAGCTGTCCCTTTATCTTGCTCCAGTGTCGTCTGCCCCACAGCTTCAGAGCCCCTCCAGGCCTCCTCAAGTCTTTGCCTGAGTCTCCTCAGTGAAACCTTCCTTCCCTGAGCAAAATGACAATTTCAGCTTTCATCTCAGCCTGGCCCTCCCGCCTCCCTTCTCCACCTTACTTTTCGACATCACCTATCACCACCTAACCAACCACACATTGCATTTGTTTAGCCATCAGGAAATTCCACGAGGGCAGAGATTTGGGTCTGTTTTGTTCACTTTCTGTACCTTTAGTGCCTAGAGCAGTGTCAGGCATTTAACAGGCACTCAGTGGGTATCTGTTGAATCAATGCATAAACTGCTGATTTTAAAATGCAGGGGGGCAGGCAATAGGGAATTGCAGTTAAATGTGTGGTTTTGAAGTCTATCCAATCTTGAATTGCATTCCAGCTTCACAAATACTAGCTTGCTAGGAATTTACTTCATCTCTCAGAGCTTCAGCTTCCTCATTTGTAAATTGGGACTCATAATAATAATGCCTATATTTTACAGTGCCTATATTTTGAGGATTAAACAAGATATGAACTATGCTTCAAACAATCCCTTGCTCACATTAACTATGTATTAAGTGTAGTCACACATGAGGGATAATTTGCTGAAATGGCCTATTTCTTGCTTATTAGAGTCAGCAAGTAACAATACTAGTCAAATAAAATACACTGTTCTTTATAAAAACCTTTACACTAAGTATACTTTGGTCTATTTTACTTGCAGTGCATTGTACTAATTTAGGGTCCAACACGCAATCAGTTAGACAGCCTATAGTAAAATACAGTGAGTGCCCTACAGGCAAAGCTGAGCAGTCATGAAACAAGTATTTAACGAGCACCTCCTACATACCCCAGGCACTAGGAATTTGGTGGTGAGCAAAACAAAGTCCTTGCCACTCCTCAAGGAGCTTACTTTCTAGAAAACAGAGGGTGAAAGAATGGCAACCATACAAATAATTCACATAAACAGGGAACAGGAAAAAGTCTTCGTTCAGACGGACACACTATGTGCCACCTGAGACAGCCCACCAGAGTCCAGTAGTATCACCACGACTTTAACAAACTCAAAGAAGCACAGAGATATTGTCGGACCATGAAGCATTCTGCAAGTTCTAAGAGCCCAGTATGTTATTACCTTGATGAAAGACACACATTCACTATGCTTTTAAATGTCAATGTTTCAAAGTGGTTAAGAGTTTTTAAAATGTTAAGTGAAAAAAATCAAGTATTTAGATGTACATAATGGAACCTAGAGAAAAATCAGAAGGAGCTTATGAAAACGTTAGTGTCTTCTGGCTGATAAGTCATTTCCTTCCTCATACTTTTTCTATTTTCCAAATTTTCTTTAATAAGCATATTGTTATTTAGATAAGCAGAAAAGAAGTTACAACCTTTTTTCTGCCCACCACTAAAATGTCCCTGTTTTTTGACCAAGGGAAAGGATATCCTTAAGGAAATCAACTCCAAGAAGTATGGCCTGTTTCCTAAAGATTTAGCTCTAAGACAAGTTTTCTTTCCTTTCTTTATTATCAAAACAATACATGGTCACTATAGAAAGTTCAGAAAAAACAAGCAAAGATAAGGAAATAAAAATCATCCACAATCCCACCATTCAAAGATAACCATCGACTAATTTTTTCAGTCTTTTTCCCTATGTAGATAATAATTTGGGTTTTTTTTTTAATTCAGCTATACTTTAAAATGTTTTTAAAAATATTTTTATTTAAAGAAAAATATACTTGTTAAAAAAAAAGGACTACAGTTTTTCAGTCAGTGATATATCCTGAATAGTATTTAACATTCTTTAAACAACCCTCTCCTGTTCATGCTGACTTTTTTCAATTTTTAAAGATTATAAACAATGCTGCAGGAAACATCTTTGAAGCTAAATCTTTGTCTGAATCCATGATTATTTCCTTAAGATAAACTTCTAAGTGAGTGTTTTAAAGAACTACATTTTTAAAGCTTTTAATTCACACTATACCAAACTGCCCGCCAGAATGATTATGCTGATTTGCACTCTCCCAGCAGTTCAGGAGAACACCCGTTATCCTCAGCCGGTGCTATTTCTGAAAATAGATTCTCAGTGTGACGGCTGGAAAACTGTATCTTATTTTCACTTATAGTTTTATTTGTTCATAAATCCATTTAGTCCATTTTTTTCAATCAAACTACTCATGTTTTCTTTTTGGTTTTTTAAAAATTACATGTCAGCTATGGTAAGCTTGCTTCATTGTATTACAAATATTTTCCCCAGTGTATCATTTACTTCCTAATTTCCTCTGTGGTATTTTTGACGTATAAGCATTTTTATCTTTTTGAAATCAGATCTAGCAATCGTTTATGATTTCTGCCTTTGAGGCCCACCCTAACTTTATTTACATATATAATGTTCATATATAAACACATAAAATACATTTTTATATACATATATATATGACATTTCTTTATTTTTTCCTCTGGTCCATTTTTCTGGCACTTTGTGTTAAATCTTTAATTCCCCTAGACTTTATTTCAGCTCAAGGCAGGAAGGAGCCAGCGAGCCTGACTTCTCCCAGGGGTCGGCTCGCTGGAAGATGCTCTTCTTACCTGGGCGTCATACTTCACGGCGGCCGAGAGCAGCGCAATGGCATTCTCCTCACAGATTCCTTGCTTGATAGTTTGTTGGCAGAGTTTTTTCAAACGATTTTCTCTATAAAATGTAGCCAGATCGAGCAATCCTGGTGGAAAGAGATGTTTATGAGGGGAGTGATCGCAGCATCCTGATCTAAAGTCAGCCCGTCGGAGGCGACCCTGCACAGACAGAATCCCCAGTGAAGGGCTGCGGAGACAAAGACAGGCTGCCTGGCGCCTGAGTGTGCGGCTCCACCTGCGAATGCAGCTGCCCTGAGCCAGTGCGGCACACAGACAAGTGGCTGTGGGGAGACAGGAGCAGAGTGAACACGGCTGTAGTCTTTTCCCCAGAAATGCTCCTCCAGTCGTGATCAACATCTTCCCCAGTGGCATTCAACGTGCTCTAACACTGCCCATCTTGAAAAGGAAAATGCCTTTCGGGGACACACGTCTGCCTCCCGGGACCCTACCTGTCTGCTCCTCTCTGGGGCTAGCCTCCCTCCCAGGAGAGCCGTCTCTATCCGCTGCCTCTGTTTTGCCACCTGCCATTCTCACCTCCTGCCGCACAGGCAGAAGCCCATCCCCTCCGCTCCCTGACACCACACCTGTGACTGTCACTAACGGCTCCCACGGGGCCCAGTCCACAGGCTATCCTCCAGTTTCATCTTACTCAAGGTTTACACAGAATTTGAGGGGGTGAGGATGCTCCCCTTCTTGAAATGCCTTGTTACTTGCCCATGTTTTCTTCCTTCGTCAGTTACTCTTCAGTCTCTTGGCTGGACCCTTTCTCCTGACTTCCAAGTGTCTGAATGCCACAGGGTTCAATATGCAGATTATTACCTCAACTTATTTCCCTAAATGATCCCCTGCCCCACAGTTTTAAACACTGTCTATAAGCACTGATGATTCCTGTTATATTATCTGTCATCTGCTTTCAAATAACCCCACATAGAGTGATTCACATGTGTAAGTTCATTTTAATCCACCCCAGGGGATACTATGAAGCACTCCAATCAGGAAGGGTCGGCTAGCGTTTGAAAGCTCTTCTTTCAAGATGCGTGGTTTTGCTAGAGACATTGAAGTGGTCCCTTCTGGCCCCACGTGAATGGGGCTGGAGCACCTGAGACTCAGCAGTCCGACTTCCTGGGGCTACATTCCTGGGTCTAATTCAGTCCTGGCTGCTACCTGATCAAAAGGCTAGCTGCATCCTGACACTGCAATACTGTCCCGCTTACTTCAAGATACTACACAGAGGGCCCAAGGGACAGAAAGCCAGGACCTCATCAACCTCACCACATTAACTGTTTTTATATCTATCTGCTAATAAATTTTATACATGTGGTAGAATTTGTTGGGAATTTGCTTTCATTATAACATAACAATTAGCAAAATTATAAAAGAAAGGCCCATGGCCTGCTGGAGGAAACTGAAATTTTTTGAAATTCTGAGAGTTGTGAATGGACTGATCGTTTTGGGTCAGCTCTCAACAACTCCCAAATTCACATCAACAGCCCCACACACTCCGAGCATCAGACTCATATATGTCATGTACTCACATGTACTGCCCTGAGTCTGCCCAAGAGGGCCCAGCTCTGTTCCTCCTCCAGGTGCACCACTCCCCACAGGGTGACCAAGGAGCCACGTGCCCCCTCCTAGACCACACTTTGGGCACCTGGGAACCTGGGATTCTCTGCCTAATTGGTCCCGAGGCCACATACATAGATGTTTCCTGCCCTCCAGACCGTATCATCCATGTGCAGACCCCCAGCCCTTAAGGATGGCCGGGTGGGGTGGATGGAGCTTGGACAAGCAGGCTGGGATGGATGCCCACACACCCCTTGTGATGCAGGATGTAGCTGGTGGTGGGTAAAGAAAGACGGCGGCTGCAAGCTGGAGGCCAGAGCCTGTCCTTCCTGGGCCACTGCGTCCCACCATGAACTCCAGCTCAAACTCAAACCTGATCTATCAGTTCTTAATGGAAGCATATTTTTTAAGGTATTTAACATAGTTTATCTGAAGCTTTCTAGCTTGATATATAACTTCAAATTTTTAGACATACAGAATGTAGACTCTTGCCTGGGGCCCTGCAAGTGTTAGGGGTGAGCCTATTAAAAAACTGCCACACAGATGTCTGGAAAGCAGCTCAAACTCTGACTTTCAAACTCAAGAGCAAAACCTGGTGCTCTCCATCTTCCTCATCTTAGTGAGTCAGAGCAGTCATCCTCTTCTCTTTCCCTCACTGCCCACATCCCATCTGCCAACAAATCCCATCAGTTCTGTCTTTGACTGATATCCAGAAGCTGCCGTCTTTTCACCACCTCTGCTGCTAGCCCACCCCACCCAGGGCACCATCACCTTATACCTGAGCCATGATAGTTACTGATCTTTTAAAAACAAATCACCTCACTCCTAGGACAGAAGCTGCTTGCTGCCCCTCACCTTCTCCATATACACACAAACCAACGTGCTCCAAATTCGCAGAGTACTCAGCTGGGCGTGGCCATCTGGAAACGACCACTTTCCCAACTTCCTGTGCAGCTGGGTTATGGCTGTGGTCATCTCTGGTCCGTGCTTAAGAGAAGTGGGACTTCCTTAACAGACACTGGGATGTGCTCTTTGCTCCCCCTCCCCCACCAGTCACTGTCCCTCCCTCCATCCTGTTGCCTGCAATGCAAACGTGGTCTTGGACATGAGTGCGGGGCCACACATAGGGATGCCCTGAGCTGCATCCTGGTGACACAGAGAGAAACTATCTTGTTTAAGCCACTTCCTTTTTTCATTTTACTGTTAGAGATAAAGCAAATCCTACATAATGCAACCCAAATGCTCAAAACCTCCCAAGGCTTTCCATCACACTGAACAGAAGACTTGGGCCCTTCACCGGGGCCTCCGAGGGTGTGCCTGGTCCTGCCCAGATCCAGCTTCCTGGCCCCAATTCCTCCCAACTCTCACTCCAACCACCCGGGCCTTCCTCGTCCTCCTCCACCCCATACACGTGTTCCTGTCTCAGACCCTCGCACTGTTCCTCTGCACTGGAATGCTCTTCCCCCAGCTCCCTGCTCAGCGCACATACTCATGGAGCCTTCTCTGACCTCCCGACTCACTGATTTTATTTATTTGTTTCAGGCTGGCCTCCCTCCCCTGAGCAGCAGCTCCACAGGGGCAAGGCCTCGGCCATCCGATCGCAGATGCCAAGGGGAGCTGTGGCGCACAGTGGGCCCTGGACTCGCAAGCATTTGCAGAAGAAAGGAAGGAAAACTATAAAACCTCAGCAATCAGATTTTTGTTTAGCTCAGGAAAATTAAATGCTGATCTGGTAAAAAGTATTACTGAATTTATACATGTAAAATGAATATTTAATTTAAAAATTTAAGGGTTGAGCGCTTTCGTTAGCTCCTTATAGAGGCAACTCGTAATTCTTCCGTCCCACTGGCCGACAATACTGCTGACAGCTGTAAACCGAAACTTAGTATGTTTTTCACCCTGCGCTGCTGTCTCACCGTCAGTAAGCCCCAGACGCAGGGAAGGCCCCACTACCTTCAAGACAGAATGCATCACAGCCCCGCCTGTCCCCAAGGGACATTCAGTTACGGAGACCAGCAGGGCTTCTTACTAAGTGCATTTCATCGGTTTTATAATGCAAGTATCTTGAGGGCAGCGAGTGAGGTAGCTAAAAAGTCTCGTACAGCGTCGAGTAATCAAGGGAGAATGGCACCCGCTCAGCGGTGCAGGTAGTGTGATAATCACCCATCCCTTATTTATCTTTCCAGTCAACCTCTGTATGAAGTAGGAGCAAAGGGAAGGACTTGGGTTCAACACACAAAAAAAGAACCGCTTCTGTGATTCCCCTCACAGCGACTTCCTTGAGGTGCTACAGAAGCCACTTCTAGGCCAATCTCTTGGTCAAGTCTGGTGGCAATTACCTACTGCCTCCTCGGGAGACAGGCTGATGCTGTCCGTGTACAGGTACTCCAGGAAGGCCCGGTAAACAGGATACGAAAATTCACTCATTTCTACAATCTCATCCTCGCTGTCGTCCAACGAAGAACGAAAATGCTCACACCTGGAGGAAGAAAGAAGCGTGTCAGGTCCCAGCTTCTAGGCAACAGCAGATGACCCCCCCGAGGAGCATTGCTCAGGGGGTTAAAGAGGAAACAGCTGATGAGAAGGAAGGAAAAACCCAGCACCGCACACCTTCACGTCCTGGCCTGGGCCCCTCACTTCCTCTGCTGCCTGGACGGCTGCAAACGCCTGTTGACTACACGAGGCTGCAAACGCTCACCTGCTATGGGGCGGCTGCCTCCCCTGCCCGGCCTCCCAGGGGTCCCTCCCACACCATGTCCACAGAACAGCATTTACAGAAATTGGGTGGGTTTATTTTTAATAACTGAGTAATTTTGTTTCTTCACCTCCTGTTATGGGTCGAACTGTATCTCCAAAATTCATATGTTGAAGTCCTAACCTCAGAATATAATAGTATTTGGAGAAAGGGTCTTTACAGAGGTAATCAAGTTAAAAGAGGGTGGTCCCTAATCCAACCTGACCGGTGTCCTTATGAAAAGGAGGAATTTGGAGTGAATGCCATGTGAAGACTGGAGTTATGCTGCCATCAGCCAAGGGACGCCAAAGATGGCCAGCATGCCACCAGAAGCTGCGACAGAGGCATGAACAGATTCTTCCTCAGATCTCTCACAAAGAACCCATCCTGCGAACACTCTAACCTTGAACTTCTAGCCTCCAGAACCTTGAGAGAATAAATTTCTGCTGTTGAAACCAACCCGTCCGCCGAACTCTGCTACAGCAGCTCTAGCAAGCCCTAACCTCCCTGCGCTTCTATGCGGGGTCATGGGCTACAGCGAGGGTGAACGAGTGCCGCACAGCCCGACCTTACTAAGAGGTGAGCTGGAGACTAAAATGCCCTGTTGAGTTTGTGATTCATTGCAGCAGGATTTCAGTATCTGTTACACAACAACAAAATGAATCTCAAAATCATTACGTTAAGAAGCCAGGCAGAAAAGAATACATACTGTGAATTCCATTTACATAAGCTTCTAGAAAATGCTGACCGTTCTACAGTGACAGAAAGAAGATCAGTGCTGGCCCAGGGCGGGGGCCTGAGGGATCTCTGAGGGGCGACGGAAACGTTCTGTGTCCTGATTTGGGGCAGTGGTTTCACAAGAGTATACCAATGTCAAAACTCCTCAAACTGAACATTTTAAATACATCAATAACTGTGATTTTTCAAAATCCCTTTTAGCTTTACCTCAGCCCTGTTGCTCTTCTCTTTTCCAAGCAGCTAAACGTTCCGTGTCCCATAGCTGATTAAGGAGAGTGACTGTCGTGGGCCGAACTCAGCTCCTAGCACAGAAGTTCACGTACATCCAAGCGGTCCCTGAAGTGCTCATAACACGCTCCCCACTGGTGGCGGCCCCCCGGCGCCAAGGAGGACAGGCCATCTGTAAAGTCTCTAAGGAAGCTGACAGTAGGTTGGCCCTGAGCCACTCCCTACTCATTGCAATGGCCTGTTACTTCTTGTTTCATGTACCCTGTGTTTCCCCCACTGCACTGGCCACTCACAAGGGCAATCATAATCACTGAAGTGCCTAACATAGTTCCTTGGAACTAGAAAATAATAAACATATTTATTTCAACTCTCAAAATAAATAATTCCTTACCTAATTTTGAGAAGGACTTTATGTGCATAAATGTACTTTCCATCCACCAGAAACTTCAGGTCTGCGGTGCTGGGGTTGTCAAATTCCCTCTTCAGGGACTCAGCCACTGTGAGGTGGTCGTCGGGTTCTAAGGGAGCAACACCCACGTTTTCTAACACACATGCCGGCCGGGATATACAGCACCGCTCTGCTGACACCCGTGAAAACACCAGGTCCCCCAAATAACCAATCAACCGTGCTTCTTCCCCACAAAACCCATACGGATTCTGGCTGTGGCCATCATTAAGTGTAAGAACCTCCCACACATCTGCTTGTAAACCTGGTGAAACAACTGAAGTCCCAAACCACCTTACTAAACAAAATTTTTTGAATGTGTGAGTAAATATACTTGCTAAAAATAAAAGATAGTTTCCCAATCACAGTAAAAAGCAATCAAAACTACTTTTCATTTAGTATACGGTGCTGGTTTCTGACACTTTTTTGAAAAATGAATCAATCAAATTAGATCCCTTTCACAGGAGTCCATCAGAGGGAAATAAATTATCTGATATTGCACTTAACATAGTCCTTACTATCGAAATAAAAGCACCAGACTTCTCCTAGTTCTCAGCTATCACCCAAATGGACAGCGATCAGCTCACCCACGGACAGGAGGCGCCACGTGACGGCGGGCGTGGCGAAGCAGGCAAACACGTCGTCGGTGCAGGAGAAGTGGATGAGGTGGGGCAGGGTCACCGACTGGCCCCGGCACTGGCCCCACATGTACACGTGCCCTCCCTGCGTCTTGGCGGCAGACGTGTGGGCAGAGTGGCAGGCCGCAACCTCTATAATTCTAGGTTCACAAACACACAACAAGTAAACACGGAGAACAGGGAGAAGAAACAAGTTGATTTCTCTTCCCTTAGGTTTAACTGATTTTAAAAAAACAACAAAACAAGACTTAGACACCTAAGCTTCTACATTTTCAGGCACCAAACAGTTCTTTACATTTAAGCTCTTTCACTGGCACTTTTACATCATGAAGATCTGCTTGGTACCACTTCTAGCCAGTAGCCCTATAATATGTACCGTCCTGTTTTGAAATTCAAGTGCAATCCAAGAGAGAAGGGACCAAAAACAAAACAAAACAAAAAAGGTGATTAAATTTTTTTCTTAAAGCATTACTTACTCAAGTAGATCAAAAAAACTGGGGCTATCGTGATCCAGGGTCAATAAATCTTTTCATCAAAACATCACCAATTTTAGGGTTCAATGGAGCATGCTGTGGGTCACCCCAACTCACAATGCAAACAGTAAATACAGTGGTTCTGACTCACTGAGCTGTACCACCTGGAACCCAAAGGAGTAGTTTTCTGGGATCAACCATATGTTAGACCCCAGTTCAAAAGTTCATGATTGACAGGCAAGTAGTTCTCAGAATACTTCCTAATAGAAAACACTGACTTATTGATTTGAAAATGATTATTTTCTCTAAGAATAAGTCACTACACAGATTCAAAGATGACAGTAAACTATTTTATCCCAACTGAGGTCACCATCTTGATTTTGCCACAGCAGACCACGGGCACCAGCCTCCTCAGTGACTCGGGCTTACAATTTCAGGGTCATCTCTGACTTCTCCCTCCTCACTTACTGCTTTCTTCAGAACATCCAGTTGACAAGTAACAGAAATTCTTTTTTGTAATGTCTCCCATTTGTCACAGCCTGGTCAGGGACATCCCATATCTCAACTAATGTAACAGCCTCCTAGGTCTCCCTGCCTTAGAATTTCTCTCTCTTCTGACCCAAACTGCACGATGTTAGCAGATTAATAATCCTCTGGAAACACCATTCTCATCAATACTTTCAAATATTTATTGACATCCCATAAGATAAAATCCAGACACGTGACCTTAAGGCCTTCCTTAATTTGGCTTCTATCTATGTCCAGCTTTCTTTCGAGTCACCTTTGTCCACACATCCTATGTTCCAGCAAACAGATGTCCTCACTGTGCCTCAGTGTCATTATGCACCAAGTCCTTGTTCAGGAATGCTCTTCCTTTCTCTCTGCCTTAGAAATCCTCTCAAGGCCCAGATCAAACAACCCCACCGTACGCGATCTCTTGCAGCACATCCTGTCCACACCTCTCCCACCTGGCCCTGTTCATCTTTTCAAGTGTGTATGTCTCACCTATTCAGCTAGATTTCAGGTTCCTGGCAGGCCAGCTCCCTGCCTTATTTCTCTCATCCTAAGCACCCAATATGGTGTCTTACTAAAGACAATTTGTAAGTCATTTTACTGACTAAATAACACAGAGTAGCTGAAGGTTGAATAAAGCCCCACTGACCGAGGCTAGCAACTGAAGGGTGGAGATATTCCTCCATGACCTGTTTTAATTAGACGTTTCCCATTCGTGGAGGGAGCTGGTCCTCATACTACCCGGAGGCTGCGGTGGTGGCTTGCCTCAGGAGGCTGAGATACATTTTCACGTGTGGCTCAAATAATTTCACTGATTTATCAGAGGGCAGCTCTCAGCTCTTGAGAACCCAAGAGCACTAGAGAAGAGGCTCTGACGTCCTGTAGGAGAGGGTCTGGGCATGGAGTCCAGCAGACTCAGGTCTGGATTACAGCCCTGTTACTAGGCTGTGTGACCGCACATAAGTCCCTCAGCCTCCAGGAGCCTCAGTTTCGTCGCACTGCAAGGCTAGCACATGAGAATGTAATGACAGAACGTTAAGCACCAAGCACAACGCATGGTGCACAAATTGCACCGTAACAGTACAGGTCTCTTCCCATTATTACTACTACTACTACTCATAGGCTGGGAGTCAGCCAGTAACCCATAGAGGCAAGTTACTTAAACTCATTATCTGTTATATCATCTTTAAAACAAAAGGGGGGGGGCAGAATACAAAAAAGCCATCATCTCACAGGCTTGTGGTGAAAAGCAAATGAAATAAGGGAGGTAGCACAGCGAACATTCAAAAGCAGTTTCTTCCTGTGATGAAAATGTTTACCAGCTGCAGGAACCTGGGGCCTGCCCTGAGGAGCTCACGATTTAGCTCAAGAGGGAAGTCATCTGTGAAATTACAAACCAAGTCCAAATAACCATCACAGTATGGCAGTGGCGACTACAGTGCTCTGGTGAGTAAAGGAACATCTTCCCTGGCGACTCCTTGGGGAGTATTTCATAACCTGGGCCATGCTGGCTTTGGATTTGTCAAAGAAATGGAGTAAGAGCATCTGAGGCAGAGAGAAAAGCATGTGCAAATGTGGAAAGAACACAGGACGGAACCAGCAAGACCAGACAGGGTACAACACCAAGAGGACCCAACTGCGACAGAGAGGCACCTTGGGGAGCAGAGAGCATGAGGTTCACTAGGAACAGTGGCGTCGGTCTTAAATTCAAGGCTGAGTGTGGATTTGAGCTCATGTGACAAATGGGAAACAGCTCTGTAAACAGGGCCAGGAAGTAATGAAAATGGTGTTCTTAGATTAATCTGGCAATTGTGTGCAAGAGACTGAAGGAAGAGATGGAACAGTCTAGAAAGCGAGCTGGGGAAGGCTGATAGGAGTGCAGATGTCACGTCCGAGCCACGAGGCCAAGAAAGAATCAGGGTGGCCACAGGTATCACTGGGAGGAGGGAGAGGAGTCAGACATGGGTCGAGTGGGAGTCTAAGAAAACACCAGCCAGCAGTGCCGAGCGGGGGCCGCAGTGCAGGTCTGATGGCAGGACGGGGCTCAACACAGAGCGCGAAGCACATAATTAAAGAAGGGCCTTCTACATTTCACCCGCTTTAGCTATAAGCAATCTGGTATTCTCCGGAGGCGGGGGAGGTTGGAACAGCCCAACAGTGTTCAGATAAACATTCACTAACTGCTCTTGTTCTTAACATATCTAAGCACTTCCACAGTGACCTACTAGGCAAGGACTTTTGGATTTTTTGAGTACCTTTTGTACACTTTGGGAGACCACTGACAGTGACAGCCTCTCTTTTCCCTGATAATGTTCTATAAGAAATGTAACTGACTGGAGCACAATCATAGCCTCCTGTGCTAAACTACCCAACATCAGAAAATCAGGATAACCTCGTTCCTACATTCACTTCTGAAACATTTACCCATTAACCTCCAGGAGAGGGGAGCAGCCTTTGCCATTACAGGAGGCGGGAACTGCTTCCACAGCCAGGGGTTAGGATGCAGAAAAGCTAGGAAGGCTGGCCCCCCCTGAGCACGGCCTGGGGTGTTTACCTGGAGCACCTAGCACCACACGGAAAGGCAGGGGTGGGGCACGGGCGTGGCTGACCGCAGCGGCTGCTATAGGAAGGAGAGCGGAGAAAGTTTAGAGGGAACCTTCAGGTCTCGGCTTGGGACTCAAGCATCTGCCAAGGCAGGCGCCTTGCCTTTGCCTCAGGTCATCTGTCCATATATCTGATTCATACCAAGAAGCAAATTCTGAAGCTCAGATTTTCCGGTCATACATGTAACAGACGCTGACTATAAACACGAGCTAACCTTTACTGTCAGGATGTCTGGCATATTTCCTTCCCACTTTATTTTGTAGCTATTCTTAATGGGGAAAAAATTTACTATGCGTTCATCATGAATAGGTTTTGTCACGTCGACCAAATGACCCACGACAACCCCACAGCTGAATGGCTGAGAAGTACTAGAAACAAAATAGCAGAGAGTGAGAAAGGATGCAAAACAGAAAACAAGGGGGAAAAGCTACTCTGTGAGGAAGCAGAATAGTGGAGAAGAAATCGTGGCAATAAGATTCAGAGCAGTGATTCCCAATCTTGCTTCTGTAAGAGGCCAACACTATTAATAACCACAAGAGGCCACAGGATTCACAAAAATGCAAGGCAGAGTTAGTTTTAAATCGACTGAACTTAAAACATGCTTTTATGGCACTTTAAGAATAAAGACACGAAATGTTATTCCAAATGACATAAAAAGTAAAAGAATAATAACTTATTCTCATTGTATCATATCTAAAAAATTACTCAGAGGGAATTAAGAAGGATAACAATAGAAGTTTTCTATAATCTTTGCAAGATGTCAGCTCTTTTTATTATATTTTACTTTAGTGACTTGTATGTACTGTATTAGATTTAGCTAATTTTTAATAAATTCCTTTTTGTCTTATTAAAAATAATTTAAAAAAAAGAATAAAGACACAAATGCTGGTAAATCGAAGTACTGAGAATTCAGAAAGATTGGGAATGACTGGGTTGGAGAAGCACTTTAATTATTAAAATCACTTCTGTGTGAACATAGATTGCTAACACATGTTAGCATCCTTCATCATAAACAGACCTCTATGAGAAAAATGTTTAATCAGGTTTCCCTTGCATTGTTGTTTGAGCAAATAATCCAATGTAGGCAGGTTTGCACTTTCAACTTCTGCGAACAGGTAACCAAGACCTGACGATCCACCCCGCCCCAAGTTCCATCCCATTCTCTCTCTTCAGCTAAGCTTCCCCGTAAATGGCCCCAAGAGTCAGGAGTTCCTGAGAGAGAAGTCATAACGTGTCTGCAAAGTGTCAGTCACTGAAAAGGGCGGGCAGGTGCAGGACAAGTCCCAGCAAACTCACAGGTTCCTCCCTCGCCTTGTTCGTGTGATGGGGCCTGCAAGCTCAGAAGTTACCATGTGAAATTCAAGCATGGAAAACTGAGAAAGCAGGAACATCGCATGCAAAACACTCATCTTTGACACTTGTAGCCCAAATCACGTTTATGTGGACAACGTCGAGTGTGCAAGTATTTAACTGTTTCCACTTGTTTTACAGATCTAATTTAAAAATAATTTTTTAAGTTAAGAAGTTTTTTAAAAAGACAGAAAGCAATGCTAGCTCCCAAGTGCCAGGTAAGGACCTGACACTCACATAACTTCTGGGCCCTGTTTCTCTGCCTCTCTTGCTTTCCCCACTATAGCCCGAGTGGTCCGGCGTGACCAGAGTCAGAAAACCCGGCACTCATGCTGGGACGGCCGGGACCAGGAGCACAAGGTGGGGTGGGTTGCTGGTGGTCAGATGGCAGTGGGTTCTGTGAGTTCAAGGACAGATGAGTTCAAGTTTATGTTAAGGGTGGCAGCACCAGAAAAATGGTAAAATGCCATACAGACAGCTTGTTTTTACATGTTACCTCTGTTTGATCCTTTAACACTTCTTTGCTGTTTTGTCTAAATACTAAATGTCCCCACTGACTGGACTGGCTAGCCGGAGGCATTCAAGGCCTCAAGATCGTCTTCTCTTTTTACTAAGTAGCTCTGAACTACCTTTTAAAGAACCGAAAATGGCCTGGCCATTTCATTATCTTTCCTCCTCCCTCATTCTTAGGGGTCCAGGGTCTTACTGTAAGATCTGGGGGCGGGGGAAGGTTTGTTAACCAATTTAATGTAGGTTCAGTAAAAGTAGCCAGGTTCATAATCCTCAAATGAAAGTCAAGAGGGCTGAAAATGACCATTTGGTTCTTCATTTTCATTGTTGTTTCATCATCTTCCTCTTAAGACTATAAAATAGAAGACAACGAGAATGAGGGGAAAGGTCATGTCTGAGCAAGTGGGATAATGCGGAAGAGCTGTCAGAGGCTTAGTCATTGCAGCTGGTGCGGAGAAGCTGCGGGAGGTACAGGTGCAACGCGGGCACGTGGAAACAGAACATTTAACACACACTCAACCTCCCCAACGATTCGTAAGCCAATTTCAAAAAGGAATGAGTGCTCTTGTTCAAGAATATTCTTGAATACTAGCAGTAAATAGCCCACAATTCTGTACCATGTCTAAGTTTTGTTTAATCAGTAAAAAACACTGAAGTTATTTTGAAAATCCACATATTACCTGTCCTTTTCCACAACGACAGGAGTAGGGTAGGACTGGTTACTTTTGTTGCCAGTGCCCAACTGGCCGTAAGAATTTGCACCCCAAGCATACACTTGACCTTCATCTGTTAATACTAATGTGTGTGCGTAGCCACAGGCAACCTGGAAAGAGAAAAACCAAATCTACTCAGGCCTGCAGATAAAAGGAAATGTGCTTTCACAAGATAGGTTAAGAATCAAAACTTTAAAAAAACAGAAGGAAAGAAGAAAGGAAAGAAAGAGGAAGAGGCAGCCCAGAGAGGTAAGCATAAATTTAACCAACATCCCCCCAGAGCTAGCTTAGGTCCCATGCGTGGTGAACAGTGCTGTGAGACCAGCAGGAGCCCCTCAGTGACAGGAGGCCAGTTTATTCAGCTTTAATTTAGCATTCATTATGCTCACAGAGATCAAGGGGTGTGACGTGAATAAGAAATAGGCACTTTTATTTTTTAAGAATTATTTTCTTTTTTTAATTATAAAAGTAAAACTTTTTTTAAATAAGAAAGTTCAATGTGAAAAAATATTGAAAAGTATAATTATGAAAGTAATCTCAAGATCAGGATTTTTTTCTATTTATAGAGATATGCACTGATAACTTTAAAAAAATCATATTGTAAAAGTACTCCTGTGTCTTTCTTTTTACTTAACATCACATATAGCACTATTTCCCTATCATTTAAAACCTTTTTAAGCATCATTTCTGTCCTTATAAGTTTAGTGTAACTTATTTAACCATTAACTTTATGTTTGATTAGATAAATTATACTTCATCTATTATTTGTTATTCATTTTTTTTTTTCTTTTTTTTCTTTTTTCTTTTGGCTGTATCTTCACTAATTCTTTTGGTCACTTTCTCTTTGCTTTCTTAGGATAATACTCTAAGAGTAGAATTCCAGATCAAAAGGTATGAATATTTTTAAGACTCCTGATGCATATGGCCAAAGTTTCCTTGGAAAAGATGGTAACAATTTACATTCCAACAGCTATTATGAGAGTGCCCTGGAAATATAAATTTTCTGATAAACATCTACAACTTAATTCATGGAAAGAGAGCTTTAACTTTACTTCAGTCAAGATATCCAAGCAGCTAACCTTTTCATCCCACTAAGAAAACTATGTTTTCAGTACACTGATATCTTTACACTGTAGACTTAAAAACAGGCACATAGAAACCAAAAGTGGGCGTACCCGCTGGACACGAATGCCTTGCAAAGCTGCTATTCTGCAGGGGGTTGGCTGGTTGCCGCCGCTGCCAAGTCCCAGCTGCCCATTCCCATTATAACCCCAGACGAAGACCTGAGAGAAAATGAGAGACTCAATGCCCACAAAAGATGAGACAAAATGCAATCAAGGTCTCTGTTGTGAGAAACGTGCCATGTTGGTCTGACACCGATAAGGCAGAGAGGTTTTTTAAGCAACATATGAAAAAATGTTCTTACCTCCCCAGTGTCCACCACTGCCATGGAGCACATCTGCCCACAGGCGATGTTCACGACCACTTTATTCTGTAAGCAGCCAGTGACTCTTCGAGGGATCGGCTGATTAGCTGTTGATCCAGACCCTATCTGCCCGGAGTTATTATAACCCCAGGCAAACACCTATTTGACAGAAGAGATCAATAAATGAAACACACTAATATTTATAGTGTCTCTATTGGCACTTGGGGTGCCTCATCTTTGCCCTCAAAGTGCTTGATGTTCATAAATCCTCACAACACGGGCAAAAAAGTTTTCAGAGAATTCTTTCTAACAAAATTTTACTTTATAAAATTAGGTTACTGGCATTATCTACACAAACAGTAAAAATTACTATCAAATATCATATAATCCTTATAAAAGTATCTACTTGGCCTCCGTCATATTTTCCAGCATTTGGGGATTTTTCTTTTTGCCAATAATCCCCTTGAGTAAAGCAATACAGAAGTAACAATACGTCTTTTTAAATGTTGCAGTTATAGAAAACCTTACCACATACAGGTACACTTCACCACATAAGACCATGACTATGAACTGCTAACAAGAGTAAGACTGAATTTGAGGTAGGTGGTTATTTTAATCAAATGACTGTATTTCCAGGGCTGCTACAGGAATCTGTCTAACGATCAATGAGATTTATGCTGACTATTCTCACCTCTCCATCAGATGTTAGCACCAAAGAATGGTAAGACCCACAGGCAACTTCAGTAACTTGCTTGTTTGACAAATTAGTAGATATATGACAGGGCACTAAACCATGATTAGTTGTCCCGTTGCCCAGCTGGCTGTACGCATTATGACCCCAGGTAAAGACTTCTCCTTCTGAAACAAAAAGAAACACAACCAGATTTCAAAATATCTAATTCATTATGGGAAAATACATATAGCACACTTCCACAAATGGAAACTGAAACTTCACATGCAAAAGCTAATCAACTTCCCTATTCCCATCAAACTCATTCTAGAAAAGGAAGACATTTGGAAAGTTAAACTACATTCCACCTCAAAGCAACAAGATGAAATTTAAATGCAGGCAATTATAATAGCTGCAAGATAGGTTTTTAATAAATAACAGAGAAAAGGCAGCTAATAGTAGTGGAAAAAAACATTAGATTGAAAGTCAAAAGACTGTAAGGTCATTTAACGTCTCTGGACCTTAATTTCCTTATCTATGAAATAATCACCAAGTTAATTTTTTAAATCTTTGTAATATTACTTATTGTACAGTATAATACACGTTCATAAAAATTCATAAAATATGCAGTTTTGTAAATAATTACAAAGCACATCCATTTACTTCCACTCAAGTCAAGAAATATAATCTTATAATCACCCCAGAAGCCCCCACATATACCCTCTGAATAACAGAATTTAGTCTTTCCTGGTTTTAAACTTTAAATAAGTGGAGTAACACAGTATATACTTCTTTCATCTGTATTTTCTACCTATTGTCTCTTTGTGTGACATTCTAGATAATTTCTTCTATTTTCCAATCTAATAATTTTCTCTTTTGCTGTGTCTAAACTGCTGCAAAACTTGTCCACTGAGTTTTTCATTTTGGTAATTACTTTGTTTATTTGGTTCTCTTTCAAATCTTCTATGATCTCTCCAAGTAACCTCAAGTTCATTCCTTAATCCTTCAAACACAATGAATACAGCCATCTTATAATTGGTGTCTAATAATTTTAATATCTGATATTTAGTAGCCAGTTTTTGCTATGTTTTTTGCTGGTTCTCATTCATGGATCCTTGTTTCCTTGGTTATCTTTGACTATGTGCTATTAATTGCATGGAACAATTATTTTTCAAAAGCATTATACTTCCCCGGGCCTGGGATGAAGATGCTTTCCTCTAGAAAGGATCTGCATTAACTTTGTCTCATGTCTTTAAGGCAATTAAAGGTACCTCTTTGGTAAATTCCAAGGCTTGAGATTATGGACCATGAATCTGATGGGAACTGGAATATAAATTCATGGTTACAACCTCTCAGGGAGAGGTTTTCTTTCTTTCTGTTTCTCCCTGCTTTGCTCAGAGCCAAGGAACTTTTCTGTTGAGTCCCTGAGAGATGGGAGAACTTCCTTAGCCTTGCCCTGAGTGTAGCCCTTTGTGATCCAGCCTAATGTGTGAGGTCTTTGACTTGTGACCCCTTCATTTCATGAGTACATCAAACCACAGCTCTGTTAAGTGCATAGGCAGATGCCTTAAAGGCAAAATTAGCTTCAAGGTCCCCTCTTCCCTCTTAAATTCATACTTTCTCTTAAATATGGTCTGATAATTCCTTTCTGCCTGATCAGTTTTGATGCTTTTATAAAAAAGTTTTTAATATTGTACCTAGAATTTTTATCTGTTTTCAGTGTAAAAGTGGTCTGATACTACTGGCAACCAAAAATCCCTAAAACTTATGTTTTAAATGTGAAATAAATATACAAGAGTATTTATAAAATTTATTTTCAATGTAAATAATACTAATGAGTACCCAGCTTAAGAAAAACTCTTAAGTTATAATTGTAATGTCTCATCAGTCTGAATAAATGGAAGAGCCATGAGAATATTTAATTCCTTATACTATTAATACCAACTGCAGCCATCAGCCACTGTTTAACGTCAGAACCACAGAACGCTAAGAGTCAGGGAAGATCTCAGAATCTAGCTTTAATCTCTCTGTTCACAGCTCGAGAATCTCAAGTTCAAAAAGTCCAGAGTGAGTTCAGCATTCTAAGGCAAAATAATCTCACTTATAAAGTACAAACAAAAGCGGCTTATTCGGTTTATAGCATTGTCATTCTTACACTCAAAGTGCCAGTAGCTGCTACCATGTGCTACATTATCTTCCTTTGACATTCAGACACGTTCATATTTCATGTTGTCTGAAGCATAGTCAAGTTCACAGGGGACAGCCGGAAAGCCTTGCCCAATCAAAAAGTATGTTCTCAATGTAAGGTGTGGTCCTAGTCCTGTTTCTCAACAGATAAAGCAACGGCTAGAACTCTACACTGTGCTCCTAGGTTACCTGTTGTTGCAAGGACAACATGCGGGCCACTCCCGTAGCTGAGGCAGGCGATTTTTTTGCCACTTAACGAGTCCAGTCTCCGAGGTTCGATGGTGCTCTGGACATCACCTAATCCCAAACAGCCACAGCAGTTTGTGCCAAGCACAAAAACCTGCGGGAGAAGCCGCTGTTAGGTCACGCAGCTCTAGTTCTGACAAACCTGTAATCACATTCAGACAGGCACAGTCCCCCTAAAGGAAAACTGCTTCATTATTTAGTAGGTAAGAATCTACTCTCCATGGCTTTTTTTTTTAAAACCTTAATTCCTTCCTTAATTCCTCAGTTCCCCCCAGATCTTCAATTCTGCAAATCCATTACTGAAAATGTCAGTGGCTGAGCATTTTGGTCCACATCACCTCATCATTCACTGTAGTGTATAAAACTTCGTTGCCGGCGCTGCCGAAGACGCAGGCTTGACGAACTAACTGCAGTTCTTCTTCAGAACAAAGGGAGAAAATTGGCCACTTGCCCACATCTAACATCTTCAAAGACGACAGAGTAGCCCGTACTGGCTGAAAAGGGGGAAAAAATATATATATATATATATATGATTATTAATAAAAAGTGCATTTTCTTTGCCCCTTTCACTTCTGTGGACGAGTCAGAGTTGGTGTGAGGAGGAACACACTACTTCTGAGAGGCCGCTCACAGCTGCGGGAACTGCCTTTGAAAGCGCGGCTGCTTCAGTCCTGCTCTCACCGCAACCGAGGACCAGCGGCCTGGATGGAATCAGACCTCACCTACTAATTTTCCTCAAGGACACAGGAATCACCCAAGGCTGAACTCCGGGGGGAGCTGAAGGTCTGGCAAGCACTGTCAGTGTTGGCTCTGTCGTAGTGTAGCTCTGGAAACTAGGCTGGTTGTAAAAGCAGGGAAAATTGAGAGGAGACTGCTACTTCATCCGCTGCCTAAGTTTTTGGGAAGGAATAATACTGAAAGTGACACCAAGGGAAAAGTTCAGAAGTTTCAGTTCATGGGTCAGTCCCAACCATTCAGTGTGAGAGCTGGTGGGCTCCCTCATCGCCCCACACAGGTTTGGGGACTGGTAGGAAGAACCGCCCAGGAAGTATGTGTATTCGATTGCTACAGCTGCTGTAACATAGTACCACTGAGTAGCTTAAACAACAGAACTTTACTTTCACATGGTTTTGGAGGCTAGAAGCTCAAAGTCAAGGTATCAGCTGGTTTGCTTTCTTCTAAGGGTTGTGACAGAAAGATCTGTTTCAGGCCTCTCCCCTTGGCTTGCAGATGGCCGTACTCTCCCTGTGTCTTCACTTCATCTTCCCCCATGTGTGTCTGTCTCTGTGTCTAAATCTCCCCTTCTGATAAGGACATCAGTCCTACTGGATTAGGTCACCCTAATGACCTCATCTTAACTAAACGAATTACATCTGCAGTGACCCCTTTCCCGAATAAGGTTACCTTCAAAAGTAACTAAGCGTCTTAGTCTATGTTCAGGCTGCTACACCAAAACGCCACAGACTGGGCAACTTATGAACAAAAGTTTATTTCTTACAGTTCTGGAAGCTGGAATGTCCAAGGCCAAGGTGCCAGCACAGTCATGTTCTGATGAGGGCACCCTTCCCGGTCCATAGCCAATGCCTTCTCACTGTGTTCAAACATGGTGGGAGGGGCCGGGGGTCTCTCCGGAGCACCTATTATAAAGCACTAATCCTATTCATGAAGCTTCTACCCTGATAACTCAAGCACCTCTTAAAGGTCCCACCTCTAATACCATCACCTTTGATGGTTAGGATTTCGACATGAATTTGGGGGGGGATAGGATCAAATCCCTAACAGCATACATTAAGATCATGAGCACTTGCACTCCCATTAGAGCATTCAATGTGGACATTATAAAGCTGTTTTAAAGAGAAATTTTATTTATTTGCTATATTGGAAACATTTTTACTTACTTTTCAACTTTCAAAACTTTTGATGATTACAATAAGATGCATAAATAACCAATTTGCCTATCAAATGGCATAGTTGGCCATTTCCCTCAATAATCACCATACTCTTAATTTAAAGGAACAAAGGATTGTCTAAGGCCTGTCTCTCCCATCAGGTATTAATTCATTCTTACCAGCAAATATGTTCTTGTAGAAAGCTGATCAGACTTGTTACTTACTTTCTACAGATTGGAAACGGTATTTGTGCCTTCAACCTGAGGAGCTGGGTGAAGATACCAAACATACATATAAAATGACGAACTGGCTCACGTGATTATGGAAGCTCAGAAGTCCTACATCTCCATTGGCAAACTGGAGACCCAGGAAAGCTGACAGCATATATTCAATTTGAGTCCAAAGGTCTGAGCACCAAGGGAGACAATCATGTAAATTCAATCCGAGGGCAGAAGATGAAATGAGATGTCCCAGATCAATCAGTGAGGCAGGAAAAGTGGGATGAACTCCTCCTTCCTCTGCCTTTTGATCCATTCAGGTTCTCAACAGACTGGAATGATGCCCCCCACACTGGGGAGGGCAACCCATTTCCTGAGTGCTGTTCCCATTTGGAAACACCCTCACAGACACACCCAAAGACAATGTTTAACCTGGGCACCAGGGGCCACTCAAGTTGACATATAAAATTAACTATCGCACAGCGTGAAGACACACAGCGTGAAGACGGCCATGTGGAGATGGAGCCAGAGACTGGTGTGATCCAGACAGGTTCAGGAACACCAAGGAATGCCAGGAACCACCAGAAGCTGGAAGAGGGAGGGAAGGCTTCTTCCCCAGAGCCTTCAGAGAGCGTGGCCCCGACGACACCTTGATTTCAGACTTCCAGGCTCCAGAACTGTCAGAGAATAAGTTTCTGTTGTTTTAAGCCACCCAGTCTGTGGTGGTTTGTCAGGGCAGAAACTAACATAGAAGGAAGCAGCTTGTCACTGCTAACAGCATCAATCTCAGCAAGCGGCAGAGCCCGAAGCAGGACTCTCAGATGTCCAGAATCAGGTCACAAGTCCAATCAGCTCCTTAACACTAATCTACAAATCATGAGTTCTCAATTTTCCTCCTGGCCCACCTCTACAAAACCTACAGTACCCAGGCCATGACTCTACTGACCACTGGGATTCCAGGGGAGAGGTCTGTAATGTCACCTGCAGTCATACACTGGGCAAAGGATGCTACTCGTTGAGAGAATGTTGGGTATGATGGTGTCTGTGGATATTTATTGAGTGTCAGATACTAAGATATAAAAATGAGACATAATTATTCCCTTCATGGAGCTCACAATTTAATAGAAAGCAAATAATTACAATATAACCTAAGTACAATGGAGGTGTGTATTCACTGCTTTTTATATCTCTGTCAGAAGGCTGGCTACTGGAGGTTAGTTATTAAAAATTCATTTTTCTAAATCTGTGGGGAAATTATTTCATTAGGAACTAATGGCTTAATTTACGAAATGCACATGTTTACACTTTTTTCAAGTAAATATTTAATATGAGTCTCAAGGAACTGAGCATCTTTGTTCACAGAAGAAAAATACATTCTTCTCTCTGGCATCATCATGAGCGTATATAGCTACAGACACTGTATATACTGGATCGGTGTGCACATATACAGGATACATACATACCTCGTACATACACGCTGTACGTTATAAGAGTATGTATACAGTACAAGGATCCATACACAGCACCCTGTAGGGCCTCAATCATGCCGCAGCCACCCCACATGACAGCAGGCATCTCTGCAGAAGGCACCAGCTACCTCTGGGCCCAACTGTTAAGTAAGGGACTGGATGAGCAGGAGCCGAGAGTGGGCAATAGGAAGATCTGCATAGGAAAAAAGCACTCCCAGGGAATGAGAGCTTGGCAATACACATCATCAAGATCATGTCCCTAGAATGTGCAATCTGAGCTTGGCCCAGGCAACCCTCCTCCCTGCACACACACCACCACAGGCGAGCAGTAACCCCAAGCCAGCTTTCCTTTACACTGCCTTGCTCATATCCAGTCTACCTCCCCCATCTTCTGCTGGCATCTGTTTGGGAAATGCAAAGCAGTGAAATTTTAATACTAGCTCAAGGAAAACATAATTAAGGAAATACATCTCCATAAAATTAGAGACCATTTTATTATTCCTGAGTGTGTGCTCCCTGTTGAACTCTGCTTCTCCAGCTATATGAAGAACCAACTGGATTATGATACTTCACTTAACTACAATTATTAGGTTGTCACAATTCAATTTAAAATACAGCAATTGGTGAGGGAGGGTAGAGCTCAATAGTAGAGCTATATGCCTAGCATGCACGAGGTCTGGGTTCAATCCCCAGCATCTCTATCAAAAATACATAATAAAAAAACAAACATACCTAATTACCTCTCCCTTACTGCAAAAAAAATTAAATTTAAAAAACACAATAATTGGAATAGAAATATAGAATTAAAATTACACGTTGGGCATGCCTAGCAGAAAAAAAAAAATTCTTAAAAAACACCCACCAGCACCTCACCCTCTGAGGATTTCCTGGCAGCACAACACCACGTAATTAAGTAATTTCATTGCTAATTCTGTGAGTCCGTTCTTTTATTTTACAAATGTGTTCCCAGAAAAAAGTCATGAATTTGATGAACATTCTGTAAGGCTTTCAGGTTCTACACATTGCTTTTGGAAGCTACTTTGGACTTTCCTACAAGGGCTCAGAAACAAGCACTTCAAGTCAGCACATGGTGGTCTCATGGTTCCGTGTTAGAAGCCTTGCTGTCTTTGTGCCCTATGTTGGCTTTGTATAATTATTCACATCTTTTACTGCATTTTGATCATATTTTATTTTTTTAAAAACTAGAGAACAGAAAAATGAAAGTTAACAGTGGAAGTTAATATTAAGCTGTTAACAGTGAAAACCAGGTATTTTGCAAATTTAATAAAATCAACACAAGGTGGAAATCAATGTGCATGCTGAAAGATGTGAAACTTGTAATGTTAAATGGATGCTGACTGGACTTAAGCAGGTTGACTGCAATGTTCAGATGTGATGGAAATGAAATAACTTAAAGAATATCTATGATGCATTAAGAACACATCATCTAAGATTAGATATTTATAATTTTTTTTAATCTCTGGAAATGGAGCAAATATTATTAAACTCATACCCTTTTGCAGGACAGCGTTATCTGTGAAAGCAGGGCTGGCCTATACTCCTCATCCAACTCAAACGTCACTGCCTCCAGGAGCCCTTTCTCTAGCCCTCAGACAATCCCCAAGTTCCCTGCTGGCCCTCTCAGCATTCTAACCCCCAACAACAGCAATCTGCCAGCATCTCAGCCACTACACTGTGACCAGTAGATGTTTGACAAAGTATGTTTCATGCAACAGAAAATGCATGCTTCAAGGGCATGACTTTTCTAACCTTGCCACTTTCTCCATAGAAAAGGGGAAGTTCTTCTTCCATATGGACTCAGTCCTGTGCAGTCCCTGAGGAAAAAGTATGTGGTAAAATCAGGATCCCATATGTCGAAGGAAACTGGGCAGGTTACAATTATTTCTAATTAACAGAGGAATAAGCTAAGCTCAAATATGGTGAAGGGAAGATAAAGGAATTGTGTTTTAGGCATGGGAGTTAACAGCTATAAAACCTAAAAGGTGTTTTAACTGCTGTTCTCTTACAAGAATCCTCCCACTGAGGTCTGGAAAACTAATCTCAGGATAAATGTAGATTCTTAAATCTATTCGGGAATAAGTAGAAAATTTTCATTTCAGAGTTGACTTCCTATTGATAAGAAAAAAAATTTTTAGACCTTGGGCTAATTTCTCCCGGGATTGGAAAGTCCCAAATCACTGTGAAGAGCAGACTTATCAATTCTCAGCTCCACGGAGGAGTATATGATTTGCTAAGCTGGAGAAAAAAAAAAAGAGTGAATGAAAAGGATGAAAGGATGAATGAACAAATGTGGCTTTGTTATCTTAGACCTTAAAAAAAAATCTGAAACAACAACCAACAAGTATGTAGCTACACTGAATGTTCTTGCCTTAATTAACCATCTGCACCATGACTCCCTTCTAGCATGTGGAACAGCAGAAGCAGCCCTATCAGAAAATATGCAGAATGTCTGGACCGTGATTCAAAAGTTACACAGTTACCTATATCATCACTAAAAATAAATATGAATACACATTCTCTCTCCCCCCAAAAGCAATTTAAAGAAATCATGCTTAATAATGTTGATATTTCTGATTAGGTTGGGTTCTACTTACTCAAATACAACTCATATTTCGAGTGCTAACATCAGAACATCTTACCTGACATTATCTACAAGCAGTTAGAGCCTTACAATAGATAAAAACAATAACCAAAATAAGGCTAAGTCTTCTAACAGTGTTCCTTATCAATGTTTTCTATGCACTTGAGGATATTGGTAAAATGCTGTTTTCCTCAGCTATAAAAAGGTCTCCCGGAATATAAGGAATAATAAATAACGTATTCAGAATAATTACTACTCAAATTATGGCAATTAATACAAGTCATTTGTAGTGTTTGGAAAAGATACGTTTGTTTGTTTTCAAAATGATCAGACTTCTCGCACTTGTAAATTTACAAAACTTGATTTGGTTGCCAATATGGAAAAGATAATTTCAGGTCACAGTTATTCCTATGTGATCCATCTTCTCTATTAATCTGCAAGCTCTTTAAGAGGGGACCACGACTCACGGCTATAACCATCACAGCACATGAGTAGAACACAAGATATTTGTTGAAAGCATCTTTGAATACAGCTTTTTGTAGACTGGAGACAGTCGATATTGGGGATTCTTCTCTTTTTGCCTCATCCTAACTCTAAAGAACTTTTCCATACCTGTCCCAAGTTTACTGGAATAAAAAAATTAAAGGAGAGGACAGGGAAGACGAGAAAGGAAAGGGAAGATGAGAAAGAAGAGAAAGGAGAAGAGCAGAGGGAGGAAATTCAAAGGCAAAAAAGAAAACAAACAAGAGAAGGAAAAGGGAAATTAGAGAAGTGACTGCCCCTCACTGGACTTTAGATACTTTGTTCCTGGTAGAAGGGAAGTCTTGCTAATATGTTAAGGTCACTGAACAGTAATCCTGAATTTTGTTTTGTTTTGTTTTTTACCCCCTACCCATCCCTCTACCATTGTAGGTAACCAGTTTCACTGGTTTCTAGTTTATTCTTCCTGTTTCTTTTTGCAGAAATAAACAGATATATGTATGTGTTTTTATTTCCCAATTCCTTCTTACACAAAAAATAGTATATTTTATATACTCTTCTGCAAGCAGCTTTTTTTTTTTCACATAACAATACACCCTGGAAACCACTCCATATCAGTTACTAGTTTTTTTTTTTTTAAACACCTGCATATCCTGTTTTTTTTTTTCAACTTTAAATTTTATTTTTGTTAATGGAGATACTGGGGGATTGAATCCAAGACGTCATATATAGTAAGCATGTGCTCTACCACTGAGCTATTCCTCCCCTCTTTCTGGTTTTTAAGGAGAAAAATAAATAGCTCTTTTCAGTCTCTTTGATCAATTTTAAGTACTGTAACTCTTTAAAAATTAGAATAGTGAAAAATAGGCCATTCTGTTTATTTGAGTAATCAGATTAAGAAATAATTATGTGTATGACATATGAAAATTACCATATTCAAAGATGTAACATTCAGTAAGATTCAATTAACATTAAATATGAGATTAACATAATTTCATTTTTGTTAGTCAGAATATCCTTGAAGATTTAAAAACGATTCATGATTAATCACTATTATATAGTGCTGTGAAAAAAAGTCAAAATCTCTAGCATTGTGAAAAATGGTTGGCTTTTTTTTTTTAACAATATTCCAATGTGATACAAATATAATAGAGAAAACTAGCTTCCTCAATTTATACTACTTGAGGAATATAGTTTGTGAAACATATGTAAGGATTATAGTTATCTCATCCTGTTATCGTCATAATTTCACCAAGCTATCATTAATATCAATGTTATAGTAATACATATACTTCTTAAAAATCCACAGCATGCCTATAGAATACCACATTCATGATAGGATAAACATTTATCCTAAATAACAGCAACAATAATAACAGTTAAAGTCAGCAGTTACCCTGTGCCAGGCACCCAGTGCCTTATATTATCTCATTTAATCTTTATAATAGCAAAAAGAAATGGGTATGATCATTGCCTCTGTTGAATGGACATATTTCAATACGTTGACCAACAGTCACCAGCCCATCAGTCACTCAGAGCCAGGATAAATTCTAAAGCCAGTGCTAATTCCAAAGACCCTCCCTTGTATTACAGGGATAATTTAAGTTTTCTTGTATACATTGCTGCTAGGTTTGTTTTGTACTGACTGGTTGGGAACATTCTCTCCAAAAATGTTTGTTACCTGATTGTTTTAAATTTCTGGAACCCAGTATTCAGTCATCTTTAATCCTGTTCCATCTAGATCCTTGAGAAGTTGTCTTCTAAGGTTAGGTTAATGTGACTGAAAATGTAAATACATAAATAAATTCTATTAGAGAAAAACAGAAAAGAATATATTATTTTGCAACTTTAACAAGTCAGTATTTGAGAAAAATATAGTTACAAATTGTGTCAGCTCTATTTATTAGTAAAAAGTCAGCAGTGGAGGTGCTCAGTTACAAAAAGAATAAGTATTATAAAATATAACATTCAGATATATTTTATAAGTCTCTTAGGAGAGGCTTTCAACAATGTGGACACTGAAACTTATGAAAAAACACTAAGGAAAGTTTAATCTATAATATTTCAACATTAAAAAAATGCAAGGGAAATCATTCAGAATGGGAAAAAAGCAAAATTTTCAAACTTTTGGAAGAAACTATAGAAAATATCTTTATGACTTCAGGATAGGGAAAGATTTCTTAAGTGAGACACAAAAGCATAAACCACAAAGAAAAGACTGGGAAATTTTACTACAGTAAAGCTTAAAACATTGGCATAATAAAAGACAAAACTGAACAAAGGGAAAAAACAAGCCACAGAATGGGAGAGGATATTTTCAACATGTATAACTGATAGCTGGCAAAGAATTAGTATTGACAGCATATAAAGAACACCTAAAAATCAAAGAAAAAGACAAGCAATCCAATTTTGAAATAGACAGAGGATACAGGCAATTCACAAAAGTCACAAAGGAAGAAGTTAATAAACAAACTCATGGAATTCATCATGGAAATGCAATCACAGTGAGCCAGATTCCACCCATTAGATCTGCAAGATTAAAGGGGACAATACACAGTGTTTGTGAGGATGCAGATCACCTTCATATTGCTGGAAGGAATGTAAACTGGTAGTTTTGAGAGCAACTGAACAATCTCTAGGCCAGAGCAGTGTCTTTCAATCTTTTTTGATATATACGTGCAGCTGAAACAAAAGTTTCACAGAATAATTCTCATTACTTGAGATACTTAGGGATACCGTCTTTCCTATTTTTCACATTTTACATTATTCTGTTCTACGCTAGCCTATTTTATCTTTTTCTATTTCACTATATTTTTACTGTTGGTTTCAGCCCACTAAAATAATTTCAAGATCACTAATAAGTCATGTCTTGTAGTCTGGAAAACACTGGCCTAGATGAACTCTAGAGCACATACATAATTGTTTGCAACAGCAAAAAAAAAAAAAAAAAAAAAAAATCTAGGAATAGGAGATAGAATTGATCAACAGGCTCCATCAACAGAATTTATAAACTGTGGCATGTGCATACCCCCCAGCAATGAAAATAACTTATGTAGAATCAACACAGACAAATCTCCAAAACCAATTTTGATCAAAAATCACTAAGTCACAGAATGATATGTATGATACACTACTTGATAATTTTTTAAAATATGCAGAAAACAATACAATTTTCATGTGTAATGGATACTGACATACACATGGCTAGACCCTGATGGTAATTTTCTCATAAAAAGTTTTGATGGAGGTAATGACTAAGACAAAATCTGCTATGTAATCCTATCAGTGAATTGGTATGACTTGGCTTTTCCATCTGACAAGACAGTTCTCAAGATTTTAAGCTTAAAGTAAATCAATCGCCTAATATGGGAGGATAAGGTCACCCAATGTTAAGGAAAACAAAACTGCTGAATCAGAATACCACCATTCTAATACTGTCTTTACCTTGCACACAGGAATACTTTATCTATGCGCATATAGATATAGTGTCTTAAATGCCAAGGGAGAAAAACTCGAAATAGAAAGAAGTGTGTTAGAATGACAAAAATGTGTTTTCTATTTCTGGTCTTAACCTGCTTATACATGTCCCCTTTTTCTGCACAGGAGGACAACGCATCTTGCAGAGCCAGGGCAGAGGAGAGCATCTGTATTGGGAAGATCTTCACAGTGATAGTGTCATGGCAGAAGATCGTTCCATATGATACTATATGCTACTTCACTGGTTCTCATTTCATTTGTTTTGGGATATATGACTTGGCTCATCTGTATGGATGATCGCTCATTTAAAAGTGCCTTGGGCTTTACAAAATAGTTTCTTACGCATTTCCTCATTTTGTTTAAACGTAATAAAAATAAAGAATCTTACTATACTGATATTTGCCTTGTAATACAAAAAGAAAATAGAGGAGAATAAGTATCTTCTCCAGCCAGAAGCTCCTGCCACTGATCTCTGCCTTTAGAGGGTCCAAACTGGACACTCAAGAGCCAATGTTTCAGGTTTTTGCAAGAGGAGTTTTCAAAACCAAATTTATATCAACTAAGGTAATCCTTTGCATGACACTTCTTAGTCTGGCTGTTTTCCTAAACTTATATAGCTCAATAATTTATTTCCAAATTATCTATGATTGGGACAGATAACTCTCTTTCTTATATGTTGTATTTTGAGAGTTTTCCCTAAACTTTAATAACTACACAGTTGAAGATTAATGGACAAGAAGACAGTCTGTAACTGAACATGATAAACATATCCATTTCTAATCCTCTAGAAGAACAGGGCAAATAATTCATTTCCCGGCACAAAGCATGTAAGGGGCAGTCTCTACATGTTATTGTTGGTAATCAGTATTAATCAGTGTGTCTGCTAATAGGACAATGTGTCATATTACTTGATCATGCCTCTGACCTAAATGAGTTAAACTGATTATAGGACATTCATTTGCCTAATTCATTCAACAAACACTGATTTAGTGCCTGCAGGAGGCACTAAACTGAAAGCAAATATGTAAAATAAAAAATAATAATAATAATGGGGAACAAAAGGATATCCATCTCATAGATGCTTGTGTCAGCATTACCCCAACCCAGTGTTATTCATGGGCCTTAAGAGCTAATAAGCTAGACACACTGTATCTGAGGGAACATATTTGCCATGTAAATTGGTATTTTGTAATTAATTGGAAGTTTCTAAATGCTGGTATCTGTCCTCTAGAAGTGATCCCAGAAGAAAAAGTGGGGAGGGAGGGAAGGAATTTTTGCAGAGAAAAGCCCAGTGTCATGTATTTTTAAAACTCAACTTAGTAATATGAGGTCAACCCTAGAGCTATGCTTGTAAAACACAATATATATAAAAAGTTTTCTTGCAATACAGAACTCAATGCTTTTAACAAATTCTCCCATCTAGGCAACACAGTTGATGACACTTTTATAATCAAAGAAACACGACATGAAGGAAAACTAATGTCTTTCAGGATACAGTTCACAGTATCAGTGTGCTAATGAGCGCCAGACGAAGTAAATGTCAATGGCATAATGATGGTCCCACCTATATGCTTAGTTGAGTCATTAAATGGTGTGTCATCCATAAGTTAGAAATATAAGTATGTATAGATACAATAAAATAATTAAACATGATCCCAATTATCACCTGCAAAAAAAGATGATAGGTATAATTTACCTCCACTTGAATGAGATGTCACAAGTCAATGAAAAATAACAGTAAGATATCCACACAGCTGCTAACTCAAGTGGGACAATTATAAACAAGATGGGCAAAACTAAAAGCACAACTAAAACTAAAGCACAACCTCAAAGGAAGCGGTATTGTCACATGTTTATGATAAAACAGCAAACTGACTTAAGCAACACAGAAATATAGTTGCTATTTTAATTACTCCATTGTAAAAAGGTTTCCAAATTTCACTAAGAGTGATGAAGCAGGTCTTCAGCCCAAAGCAAAACTGTATTTAGTTTGAATACATTACTGGACTCAACATTGGTCTTTTCATCTAAGCAAAGTGTCATTTTCAAATATAAAAAATAATCAACATAAACTATATAAATATTTTAAGTTGTTATGCTAGCTAAAATGAACCAGTACTTGAGACACTTGTATATCCATTTGAAATTTAGATCCTTATAGATCTAATACATTTCTTTAAAGCCCCTACCATGCCTAATAAAGAGACTCCTAATTGTTAAAGACCTTGGCCCCACAACACAAATATTCCTTTGACATGGTAGCCCCTCTTGCCCTTGGCTCATTTCCATTTGCAATTCATGATGTTCAGTCAAATGCATTCAGCCTGATACAGAACATATTATAATGTGGTCACAATTCATGATTTACTCACATACTATCACCCATTGGTACTTGTCAGCTCAAAATGTCTTCCATGGGGAGAGGTATATACTAGATATGAGCTCAGGTTAGATTAGTAAGGCTGAAGACATACAGAAGACACACACTCCAATGTCAGATTAATGTTGAAAAAAACTATTATGCCTTAAATTTCCTGGAGACTTTCACGTTGTTAAGATGGAATCACTGTGTGAATTAGACACATGTTGCTTCTGGATAACGAAATCGAGGACCGTATCAGCCTTCCAGTGGGGGATACTATGAATACCCCTTTCAGAGAGGCAAGCTCTCTGCTCCTTTGAAGTAAATATCCCCATGTAGGCCTCCATTTTCAGCTTTGAACATTTAGTCCTTAACGCCACTCTGCAACTCTGATAACTCCACTCCTGGTCTTAAATCTGTCTTTCCTGGTCAATTTTGATTTATAGCAAGTCAACTCCAGTAAACCTCCAGAGTAGCAGTACCTTAGGGGCATTTTAATTCCACTTTATCCAAGTGAAAACCTAAATTAAATATGACAGTCTTAAAGTCATAAGCAAATGCCATGGGTATCTTCCACTTACAGCTCCAGATTAACAGCTCTTGATGTCTAAACAGTGTTTGTAACCAACTTTGTAATCCACGTAAGCAAAAGACCTAAAAGGAAAAACACTTTATTTTCTAAAACTTTTCCTCTTTCAGCCTCTTTCTCTAAGCATCCCTTAATTCTGGACCACAATCTGGTTAGGCTTGTCTGGTTCATTCAGAAATCTCCAAAAGCAGTAAGTTAATATCTTAAAGCATGACATCATACCAGGTGAATAGTCAACACAGTTTCAAATAAAGAAAAGCAACCACCACTCTTAAAAAGCAACTGCACTAGTCACCCACAGCCAGACGGACATTAAGAAGCAATTGCAAAGTGAAAACACTTTTTTTTTTTCTCAACACACCTCTAATATTGGTTTGGCTAGTCTTTTCCATTCAAGAGCCCAGTCTCTTCATTTGATGTGCTGTATTAAACTGTAACATTCTGAATAATGTGAACTCTACTTGAAGAAAAAATTTTTTTCAGCTATGTATAATAAAAGACAGTTACATTTGTCACCACGGTCATAGTGCGGGGCCCCATGAAAGACATAGCAGAGAATGGCAAAACAAACAAACCCAAAAAACAAAAACAAACAAAAATTTCTCCTAGAAAGATCATTTAATTCTAAAAACCAGTTCTCCATCATGAACATCACCTTCAGTTTATCCTTCAGACCCATCATAATCATGCTGTTTAAAATTGCAACCCATCCCTGTACTCTGGTCCCCTTTCTCTGCTCTTTTGTCATTTATTTCATAGCACTTAGTTTTCTAACACAACAAATAATTAGATGAGATTATTGTTAACCATTCTTTGCTAGGATGTAAGCTCCAAAGGGATGAATTCTGTGTCTATTTTGTTCACTGAGATACTCTAAACACCTAGACACGACTTGATACAAAACAGTCACTCAATAAATGTTGAATGAATCAAGCAAGCAAGCAAGCAAGCAAACAATCCACACTGCATTTAGACTTCAGCACTAAATGTTTCTGGAGTCAAGTTAAATTCCAATTTCACTTTTAACAGTTAACAGGTATCTACTGAGTTGCGATTATGGGGGAGGCAGATCACATAAATACATACCAGACACCAAAAAAGGCTACAAAGCCAAACAGAGCAAGACAAGAGGTTGGACAGCAAGGGTACTGGCTGTTTTAGATGAGGTAGTCACCTCTGAAGTGATGGCAATTATTTTGAGACCTGAATAAAGTCAGGTGCCATGCAGATTCGGGTGGAGGGGAAAAGTGAGCTTTGAGCATGGAGAAAACAGCAAATGCACAGGCCTGAGGGTGGAGGCCGGCTTGGGAAGCCCAGTAAGAGCAGTGAGTACTGAGTGGTAGGAGTGGGGTGTGCAAGAATGTATCATTCCAATTGTCTTTACCTACTAAATAACATGTATATATTGCCTAGCGCTCCAAGAAAGACAGATTACATTTCACCTAGAGTTCTCAGATTCTCTGATAGTGCTGCTTCTGTTCCATCCTCCAAATGTCTGTATCAGCACATCATACAAGATTACAAGTCACACAGTAACGACATTGTTAAAAACCATTCCGAGAGTAGACTTAGTAACTAAGTACCACTAAGAGGGTGTAAAGCCAAGCAGGAACTTAGTACCAGATGCGTGCAAAGCCAAGAGGCTCAAGAAACATTCAACAGTCACTTCGGGGGGGTGGGGGGGAGGGGCCGGGGACAGTGTCGTTCCAAAGCACTGTGAACTCTACCACTTTCATTCCGCACTGACAAAAATTAAGTCGCCAAGCGCGGTACCAGGAAGCTCTACGACATGAATTTGGTTACAGTCCTGAGCTCGAACAGTTCCGACATTTTATTTAACTTCCTAAAGAATAAAAGCAAAAAGTTCACTCTGAACTCGCCTTGCAACTCAGGCAGGAAGTTCTTTCTCGGCCAGGGAGGAGCACTTGGGAGTTTTCAGCGTCTGAAAAATCTCTATTTCCGGGGCTGAGCAGAGCAGTATCTTCTGGCTTAATTAAAATGTTTATGGCGATTTCTCCCAATTCCTTCACAACAGTTCCGAAACAGCTTCGCCTAGTTGAGTCAAACTTTCTGCGCTATCCCTGATAGATATCCCGCTATCAGGACCAAAGGTCGAAGGCATAGTAATGAGTTTAACAAGCCGGTTCCGGGCCGGGACCTGGGGAACTAGATACATGAACACTTCGAGAGCGACAGAAATGACAAAAGCAGTCTGCGCGGGGCAGAGTGGAAAGCAGAGGCGAAACTCCCAGGCACGTGCCTCCACGGGCCCGGACTGACCCAGCCGCGCGGGCCTGAGCCACGGACGCCTCCAGGAAAGCAACAGCCCTGGAACCACGCCAAACGTGACCCTCGCCGCGGCCGGCCTCCTCCGCCAGCCGAACCGCGCATGCGCAGCGTCGCCCGGCC